AAGAACAAAAATAATTCACCGAAAAGAGAAAGAAACACTGCACATAAAGAGCAATAAATATATTGATGTACCTTCAAGCTGATTTTGTTGGTTTGTGAAAAACCGCTCTAAATCAAATCTAACAAGTACTTAAAAAGTATGATATTCCTTCACTAATGATTTTGACAGAACACTCAGTCGTGAACTATAACATGCAAGGTCCATGGATTAAACTCATGTTAGTGTCTTATTGAACTGACAGAACCTGTATGTCCACAACCAGCTGCTTACTGAATTGTATAGAAACAATAAGACAGTATAAGGGTTAAAGACTGAAATAATCCTGGGACTAGATTATAGACTAATTCGTGAACACATACAAATTATGAGTTATAAAATAGTAATATAATATATAAGAAAATATGTTCAATAGCAGTCTCTTTTTTATTTTCTTTAATGCTGTTCGTTGCCCATTAATATTACATATTAATTTAGATGCCATGTTTGTTGTATGAAAAGTGACTACATATTATATTTTGGGTTTATAGAAGGTGGTGTATTTGTTAGTTGTGTTTAAGCTAGAGGATTCCACATGAGTTTTTGTAAAGTTTGGTGTAGTTTTGTTTTTCTTCCGAATTTACATTCATTAAATTACAAGATGTCAAAGAACATCAGTATTTGAGTAGAATTAAAGAGAGTATATTTAGTTAAAATGCGATAATTTGGGTTAATATATGAGAACATAAGTGTGTAAGATTGTAAATAATAAAATTGTTTAAACATCGAACAAATGTTAAGTTAAAATGATGACACCAGCAGTTTTGAACTGACTGATGTATTAGTATAAAGCCATTTCTTTCTAGTCAGTACATTTCCATGTGTTTTTCCCATATCTCTTGGTAGTAAATTGCTATTTGATTATGTAAAGTTTAAAAGATAAACTTAGAATAAGACAAAAAATAAATTTAAAAGTAAAGCACTATTTTTTGTGTTGTTCAGTTTGTGACTTATGTCATTGTTTATTCAAGTTTATGAAAAACCTTTCAGAATAATGGTGGACTTTGGTCGAATACTATCAAGCCATAGTGAACTCAGACGTATGGTCTAATTGTTAAATACAAAGTTTTGAATATGCAAATTTAATCCACTGTTGTACATCAGTAGACATCTGTATCGTATATTAATTTTCATATATTTCTTCATTATTGGAAGTAGTATAGCCCTGTCAATTTAAGCCATAGAGTAATAACAGCTCATAGCTGTTTCAACCCTGCTACTTTTAATCATACCAACTATTTTTTATCATCCTATCTCATGAGCTTATTTACAAAATGGTGTCTGTTTACCAGTACTAGAGCCTTACTAACTTAAACCATTTTTACCGTACGTAACAAAATCCTAAGCTGGTCTATTGAATTAAATGATGAGAAGAAAACGATCAGAAAACAGAGTAAAGACATGAAAAGTGGGATTTTGAATACTTTGCATAAGATCTGAAAACGTCTGTTTTTGAAGATCACAAAACGTCTGCCGTGAACAATTAGAATTCCGACGCCTTTCCGACTTCCGACTTTCCAATTAATGCATTTGTTATGAATTTATGAAACAAATATTGTCGTCCCAAACGCGTTTTTCTATGATCGTTATGTCAATGTCTTGGGGAAACAATTGAAATACGCGTTATCATTGATATAGACAATTATTTTCGTTTCTTAATTAGAAACATAAATTCAAGGCGGCAAATTTCAGCTAGAATCACCCTTGTATGGATGGCGAAGCAACAAAAGGCAAATTCATCTACTTTCAGTCATCTACAGCTATTCGATGGATATCGACTTACTCTAATTGTGAAAGAAGATCATTTTAAATACGATCTTTATGATTCCAATATGCAAAACTAGTCGTCAATGTTGTTCGTCAGTAGAACTCCGCAGGGTATTTTAAAAGTCATCCATTGCTAATTTCATTATTTTCTGCCGCATTTTGTCAACTATAAAGTTCACTTTTATGCTAAACTTATTCATTGTAAAACATCAGAAGCAGGGCGAACGGTATAAACACGATGTTGAATAATTCTACTCTCAACTCTACTCGTCCTGGTATTCCTGTTCCTTACTACGGCAAGATACCATGGACTGTGGCCCTTTCTCTTGAATTTGTTGTGGCCATGATGGGAAACTTCCTTATAGTGTGGATAGTCTTTAGGGACAGTCGGTTGAGAAGCACCACGAATTGTTTGATAACCAACATGGCGGTCAGTGATCTTATTGCAGCTCTCTTGTTCTTTCCATGGACACTGGTGCCCCTTAAGTTTGACAAGCAATGGCTGATTGGTGAGGTCATTGGTAATGTACTGTGCAAGCTAACTCCATTTACAATAGATATGTCTTTCGGTGTCTCTGCTTTTAGCTGTGTTGCCATTGCCATTGACCGGTATTTTGCCGTAGCCTATCCATTCAAGAGACCGTTTCAGGGCAAGATGAAAAAGGTCATTGCAGTAATTTGGATTGTTGCAGTCGTAATCTGTTTGCCAATCTTGTACTTTGTCACCACACGTCATAATGGCAACTTTGTGTATTGTGTTGTACTTGGCAAGAACTGGTCATCATACCTGTCTTACTATTATACATTGCAAGGTTTGACCAGTATTTTGCCAGTGCTGTTCATGACAATCACCTACACACTCACCATCTGCAAACTTTACCATCGCAAAGTACCCGGATTGCAAACATCACAACAAAGAAGAAGAAAGCAGCAGAATAAAAAAGTGTTAAAACATGCTGTGACAATTGTGGTTTTGCTTTATCTTTGTCGCGGGTTTTGGTTCACTTTTATAATGTTGGCTAATCAAGGAAAGTTGGGCCATCTCTCGTTCTCATCGTATAAGAATTTGATGTATGCCTCAGATTTCATTTTATACCTCAGTCTTATGTATAACTTCTTCATCTACCTCATCTTCAATGATATTTACCGTGAGAATATCAAAGCTCTGATACCCAAGTGTTGCTGTCGATACGATGCTAACATGAGRCAGGAAAGACCAGGTGKAVGGGAAATGATAGAAATGAACGAACTGAATTAAAGACAAGAAAAATAGAAACAAAGAATAAGAAAGAACAATACAAAGTAATGCACCGAAAAGAGAAAGAAACACTGCACATAAGAGCAACATATTGAAGTACATTCAAGTGGATTTTATTGGGTTTGTGAAAAACTGCTTTAAATGAAATCTACCAAAAACTTAAAACCTATTTCTTCACTAATGATTTTAAGTGAACACTCAGTCGTGAACTATAACATGCAAGGTCCATGGATTAAACTCATGTTAGTATCTTATTGAACTGACAGACCCTGTTTGTCCACAACCAGCTGCTTATAAGGCAGTATAAGGGTTGAAGACTGAGATAATCCTGGCAATAGATTATAGACTGACTCATAAACATATTCAAATTATGAGTTATAAAATAGTAATATAATTTATTAGAAAAAGATGGTCAATAGATATATGACAATACTGTAAGAACGATCTCGTGTATTTAGTATTGATATAGTTGATTGGTCAGCAATATTATCACAAGTGTATTCTCAATCAAAATGCCTTGCACCATAGAATAATTTGAAAACAGTTTCTTTTTTATTTTCTTAACTGCTGTTCGTCGCCCATAGTGTTTGCATATTATTTTGGATGTCATTTTTGTCGTATGAAAGTGACTATACACATTTTGGGTTTATAGGAGGTGGTTTAATCATACCAACTATTTTTTAACATCCTATCTCATCAGCTTATTTCCAAAATGGTGTCTGTTTACCAGTACTAGAGACTTACTAACTTAAACCATTTTTACCGTACGTAACAAAATCCTAAGCTGGTCTATTGAATTACATAATGAGAACGAAACGAGCAGAAAACAGAGTAAAGACATGAAAAGTGGGATTTTGAATACTTTGCATACGATCTGAAAACGTCTCTTTTTGAAGATCACAAAACGTCTGCCGTGAACAATTAGAATTCCGACGCCTTTCCGACTTCCGACTTTTGAATTAATGCATTTGTTATGAATTTATGAAACAAATATTGTCGTCCCAAACGCTATTTTCTATGATCGTCATGTCAATGTCTTGGGGAAACAATTGAAATACGCGTTATCATTGATATAGACAATTATTTTCGTTTCTTTATTAGAAACATAAATTCAAGGCGGCAAATTTCAGCTAGAATCACCCCTGTATGGATGGGGAAGCAACAAAAGGCAAATTCATCTAGTTTCAGTCATCTACAGCTATTCGATGGCTATCGACTTACTCTAATTGTGAACGATCATTTTAAATACGATGTTTATGATTCCAATATACAAAACTAGTCGTCAATGTTGTTCGTCAGTAGAACTCCGCAGGGTATTTTAAAAGTCATCCATTGCTAATTCCTTTTTATGCTAAACTTATTCATTGTAAAACATCATCAGCAGGGCGAACGGTATAAACACGATGTTTAATAATTCTACTCTCAACGCTACTCGTCCTCGTATTCCTGTTCGTTACTACGGCAAGATACCATGGACTGCGGCCTTTTCTCTTGAATTTGTTATGGCCATGATGGGAAACTTCCTTATAGTGTGGATAGTCTTTAGGGACAGTCGGTTAAGAAGTACCACGAATTACTTGATAACCAACATGGCGGTCAGTGATCTTATTGCAGCTCTCTTTGTCTTTCCATGGAGACTAGTGCTCCTTAACTTTGACGGACAATGGCTGATTGGTGGGGTCATTGGTAATGCCCTGTGCAAGCTAACTCCATTTACAATAGATATGTCTTTCGGTGTCTCTGCTTTTAGCTGTGTTGCCATTGCCATTGACCGGTATTTTGCCGTAGCCTATCCATTCAAGAGACCGTTTCAGGACAAAATGAAAAAGGTCATTGCAGTAATTTGGATTGTTGCAGTCGTAATCTGTTCGCCAATCTTGTACTTTNTTTACACGAATTAAATTACAAGATATCAAAGAACATCAGTATTTGAGTAGAAGTAAAGAGAGTATATTTAGTTAAAATGCGATAATTTACTGATTATATATGACAACATTAGTAAATAAGATTGTAAATGATTTCTTTCTAGTCATTAAATGTTCCCTATATCGCATCATAGTGAATTACTGTTTGACTATTATGTAAGTTTATGTAAGTTAGAAACTTAGAATACGACAAAAATAAATTTAAGAAGTAAAGTACTATTTTTTGTGTTGTCCAGTTTGTGACTTATGTCATTGTTTATTCAAGTTCATGAAAAAAAATTTCAGGACAATTGTGGACTTTGGTCGAGTACTATCAAACCATAGTGAACTCAGACTCGTGGTCTAATTGTTAGACGTACAGTAGTTTCTAATATGCAAAATTAATCCACTGTTGTACATCAGTAGCCATCTGAAGCGTATATTAATTTTCATATATTTCTTATTTCATTATTGGTAGTAGTATAGCCCTGTCAATTTAAGTCATTGTGTAATTACCGCTCACACCTGTTTTAACTCTGCTGCTTTTAATCATAGTAACTATATTTTAACATCGTAGTTCATCAGCTTATTTACAAAATGGTGTCTGTTCACCAGCACTAGAGACCTGCTAACTTTAGCCATTTTTACCGTACGCAACAAAATCAATAGCTGGTCTATTGAATTACATAATGAGAACGAAACGATCAGAAAACAGAGTAAACACATGGAAATAGGGGTTTTGAACGTTTTACAAAAGATCTGAAAACGTTTCCCTTTGAAGATCACAAAAGATCTGCCTTGAACAATTAGAATTACGACGCCTTTTCGACTTCCAACTCATCAATTAATACAGGGGTATTAAGTAGTTTACCTATATTTACGGATACTGGAAGGTTATACATGCATTTCCTGTAGCAATGATCGAGCATAAACAATAAAAAAAAACGTTTGTTCAAACCAAAAACGAAAAAAAGGGACTGAAAAAGGTAAAATAAAAGAACTATTCTGTCAGGAAAACAGTGCATCCTTTTTGCGACTAAATTTGCGGTCATTAGGTCCAACAGGTGCCAGGAATATTGGCATATATTTCTAATGGTATTTAGTCACATTTTAGCTTAGATTTCGATATCGTAATACCGTAATTCAGCCCTTTTGCTGCAAAGGTA